TAGTGAAATATTGTTGATCCTAAGTCACTACTGAAGTAAAGGGGCATACTGCAGAAAATGCTTTGGGCAGACAAACAGTAGCAGGCTCCACACAGGCGTTCTGAGTTGTGAGTAGTCCACAGATTGTGTGTGTACGTGGAATGAGTTTTAGGACTGTAGGTGGGAGCCGACAGCTCTCAGGAAGAACCTGGGGAGGATTGGAACATCTCATAAAGGATTTTGCAGCAGATGGTTGTTTGCCTGGTTGGGTTGAGCGGTGATATTCCACTATCCTTGCCTCTGAACTGGAGTCATCCCATAGAGGACAGCTGAAGGAGTTTTCATACTGTATCTTGCCCTTGGAGCAGGAACACAGTAGTAACCCTTTTGTGTTTGGACCAGACTGTAAGAATGCTTTCATTTAAAGACCTGTATTATTGAACTGAGATTGGCTGTTAGGTGTTGATGACCCTTATTAAGCACACTTATAAGATATTACCAGCTCTAAACTTGAAAAACATCTTCCTGCTCAGTCTTATCATCTATTTCCAGTCATTCTCTAGATCAGCAGAATTTACATCTTTGTTGTTTTGTAGATTCCCCTCTTTGTTTCGTGGATGCTGGATTTGGGTGAGAATTAGTGAGGTCGTTTTAAATGGGTCACCCTAAGCCATAGCTTTTATAAATTCTTTAATGAAGAGGTATTTCCCAGTATTGTTTAAGAGAAATGTTTCATCTGTGGCAGACAGTAACAGCAGATGATTATCTCGTAGACTTGTTCCATAATGAAAAAAAGAAAAGGAGGAATAAAATATTTATAATGCATTTGGAACAAATCCCATCATCTGTTCACCTCTGCAGTTTCCTTTGAATGTGGAGCAGAGTGATGGAGGCAGGAGCTCTGTGTTGCTCCCTCCAGAAATGCATATAGACAAATGTTGGCTATATCAAAACTTCAGTGAGGGAGGTGACAATGTCAGTTGCTGAACTGTGGGGGAGTACAAACTGCAGGGAGAAAACAATGTTTGAGACTGACTGGTATTGAATTTAGGCTTAGATTTGTCTTTTGCAAGATTTCTCTACTGACACCTAATGGCTAGTGATATAAAATATTCAGAATATCTCCAAATAATTAGAAAATGACTGTAGACATGGCACATAAATTTCCTCTTTACACCACAGGAACTCCCCAAATAAAACTGCTTTTACCCGCTCTCGCCCTCTGCCACTTCCTTTTTTACTTTCTCGCTATAAATAATAGGCTAAGCATCCTCTTCACTTTTTATCTCACACCCTTTTCTGCTTCTATGCACTGCTTTGCTTAAAGAAAAAGAGAGTTGTGATTATTCGCAAATATTACTTCTCATAATACATTATTAAATCAGTAACCTATCCAAATCTTCTTGTTTAACACCCTTACATCTGAGCCAATCTTACTACTTTTGGAATGGTAAATTAGACCCAAAAAATTACATTATTATTAATTATTATGTATCTTGTGTAAGAAATGTATCATCAAAATGAAGCATTAAAAATAAATGTATTACTGTAGTTCTATGGCATGTACTCTAATCTACTTGAGTCTGGGTTAGAACAGGTGCAGTGTTTAAGGCCCAGTAGAAAGTCAAGAGAAAGAACATGGTGTTTGACTTTCAAGTACTTTAAGGTTAATTATTCAAGACTTTCTTAACCTCACAACAAGCCAAGAACACCAGGATCACACAGTGAGCTGCAGCGTTGTCTTTTTTTCCCTTGGCAAGTGTCACAAGTTTAAAAGCACTGTTCGACTATAATTGAAATGCATGCATTGTCTGAAGTCTGACGCCTTCAACCTAGAAATAAACTACAGAACAAACATAACCTCAGATACTCTCAGTAAGCAGAGTAATCAGTGATATGATTATAATCAGTGACAAGACTAATCTGTTGTTTGTTATTTTGATATGCATGCGCTGAGTGTAAATTATGTGTGTAGATTAGTTGGTTCATCTGATTAAGAAAAAAAAAAAAAAACAATACTGGCACTCCATAATGAATATGTTGAACATGTAGGCAACAACACACCATCAAAATTAGGTTTCTATAGTTTTATAAAGCGATTAAAAGAAATTAAGCTCTACACAAGGAGCTGAAATTTGTGACACTTGCATAAAAATAGAAATAAGACAGAGAATACATATTTCTAACAGACAAAACTAAAATGACTAGATCCACAAATCTTGGCAAAACTTTCATGTCATCTGTCGATCAAGACCTTTAATTCTGCTGCACACAAATGTATCCTTTATGTTGACCAAATGATCCCAACTTTAGACTTTGTAGCTATAATAACCAGTGACTACCATACCAGATGCATACAGTCCCTGATCTCATGGCATCCTTTATAAGTCAACAGGAGTGTAGGCCTACACACAGCAAAGGCTATGAGCTCCCATGCAGGGTCCAACAACACACACTTGGTGCATTCATCATTAAATTTCTTAAGCAAGTGACATTTTCAAAATATGAGTCTTTCATGGCCTTATTAAATAGACATACTATTCAAGCTAAATATGCTTCCAATAAAGAATGAAGCACTTGACCTTTGTAGTTTTACTTACAGCAAATGTGAAACAAGACTAAACAACAAATTCAGCGATAATGATATCAAATCAGAAAGGTGCCATATACAGTATAACAGTTAGACCAAAGCAACTGTGTGGACACAATAGTACAGTAAAAAGAAAACTGGATTCACAAAAATAACAGCCACTTTAATTGTCTCTCAGTTTAGGAAAGAAAAATAAGAAAAAGCATTAGAGCCACTGTACAAAATTAATTTGAGCTCTGACTTTTTTTCTCAGAATTCTGACCTTAATTTCAGAATTCTGAGATTAAAGTCTGAATTATAAGATTAAAGTCAGAATTCAGATTTTTTTTGTCAGAATTCTGAGGAAAAAGTCAGAACTTTACAGTGGCACTAATCATCTTCTGTAGAAAAACTGTGAAAGATAAAGTCCCTACAGAAAGAATGCAACAAATAGATGGAGTATACATTCATTGGCGACACAAAGGGAGGAACATCAAAAACATTCTTTATTTATTTTTTTTTTTTTCCAAACACATATAACACACACCTTCACAGGACTGGTACCACAAAAACAGCTCAACAATAACACACAGAAAGGTGCAGCACTTAACACTTATTATTTTTATTTGGAGCTTTACTCCAAACTTGGTTGCCCTCTTGCTAACCCTTGCACCAAATAATGAGCCTAATTAGCTGCTTTTGTTGACACCAGCAGATTATTATTTTATTAATGCTATTTTGATGTAACTGCCAGCAGTTTGTTGACATGCCTGTGTTTTTCACAACTGCTAGATATTGCTAGTGTCAAAGTGCCTCAAATTCAGATGATCAAATTATCACATTATCCCACTTGGCTGCTCATATTTAGGGTTTAAAGACTATGACATGAACACGGCGTAACACATCAGCCTCAAACACTCACTGTACTGGCTAGCTTTATTAGCAGTAAACTGATCACAATATCACACCAGCAATCTCAGTACAGCTCCAATATAAGTGTACCCACAAATAATGTTTAAACAAGGGCATTTTGGGAGTAAACAGAAGATGCCTGTCAGTATGAGCTTAGTCATACAGTAGATCATAGACAAAACGATGGATGTATCAATGTCTGTTAAACTGCTACTAGCAACAAAATGTTCAGCTGAAAACTGAAACAAAGTACCAGTGGCAAAACCCTCACCATTCTGAATCTGGATTTTGGACTGAGGATTATATTCAGTTCAATTATATTCAAAAGTAACTCTGCCAGAACAGAACTGTAAAACTTTCTTATAACACTGCTAACCTCAAGAGCAGCTGGGTGGGGCATAGAAAAATCACTTAGTGCTTAAAAAAGGAAGACCATCCACCCTAGCTAAACTTCTTTGATTTCACTCAGAAACATAAACAGGCTGTTTTTTCTTTGTTTCTGAAAACCATAAGAAATATGAAGCAAAAAAGGAAATTTGTTTTTACTCATCTCAGAAATGCTTTTATATGTATACAAACAGATGTGGTCTCCTAAAATGTACCCCTAAGTGCAGGTAGGTTTTGTTCAAGCCAAACACAGCAGCAGGTGATTTCACTAGGACACATCTTTGATGGAGACAAAGTCTTGTAACATATTTCAGGCCTTCGTATAAGGAAATAAAATTTACAGAAAATAGAAATGCACAGTTAACTTAACAAATAAAACAGCAAATCCCAATACTGGTTATTAAAACATTCTATAGACTAGTATTTATTTTATTTCATAAGTGGGAGATGGTGTTGGTGCATAAACCAAGAAATTGAGAAATCATGCAAAAAATGCAAACATTATTAGAAAACAAATCACATAGTCCTACAGTATATTCTATTCGGGTACTGTATATATTATAGTGTATAGTATATAGCTGGATTAACCTTTTGTGGGGACCCTGGGGTAAAAATATGTTGTTGAGGTTCCATGCATTGCCACTGTACATGGCAGTTTATTTCCCCAGACAATGGGAAACCAACCCATATATTCAATTTGCTGATTGACAGAAAATTAATTGGTTGCTGAATCATTTAGGGGCTTCAAGAAATAAGTATGGGTATTGCTCACATTTTAACAACTTTTCACTGAACACTTAATCAGTTATTTAAAAACTGTCTGATGTACTGATAATAAAAAGTTGATTAGTGCAGTATAGACCTTTTCTGTTAAAATCATCTGCGATGGATTGGCGACCTGTCCAGGGTGTACCCGCCTTCGCCCGATTGCCGGCCTGGATTGGCTCCGCTCCGCCCCCCCAATTAGAATGAAAGATCCAGCATAATTGATGTAAAAATTAGAAAAGGCATGTCAACAAAGTTCAACTAACCACTGTTGTAAAAAAATAAGATGAAAACTGGAACATTAATAGAAAAAAAATAATAGTGGCCTTATCATAATATATAATTTTACGCTTCCTGTTTGGGGACGGTGGTCACCAATCCAAAACAGACTAATGTTAGCGCCTAGTCTTGCAGCATATGCTTACAATCATGCACTGGGCTGTAAGACTAAAGAGTATGGGTGTAATAAATTGACTTGTAAAAGTCTAACAGCTGATGTAAACCTCTGTCATACAAGCACCACCTACTACGTCGAGGAGTGGTGTTGCATCAGAATTGTAATATCCGGGGAACGTCATCAGCTTTCACCCGGCATCCTGACTGTTCATAGTTTGCTGAAGTTATCTCTTAAACTGAGGTAGCTTTTCATTTGTTATGGCTGAGCAGACGGTCGTGGACAAAATGAGCGAATTGCAAGTCGACGATGGAAAAAAGGTGATATTTCCCTTTTGTGACCGGCTACGTTAAAGTCATATTAGCAAACTAGCAGCTAGCCTAATCTGTTACACTCATGCTGTCATTTAGCCACCAGCTATGTGGCGCTAACATTTGGGCTAGTTAGCTTATGTTAGTAACGTTATGTTGGTTTTACTTTAAATGTCACTATCATGGTGACAGAAGCATTAGTTCAATTTTTGTTGTAAGCTGTTTAGGCTGTAAATTGTCATATTGCAGTTAAGCGAACCCAGTGAGCTAACGTTAGTTTGCTGTGACACGTAACAGTTAGCTTTAACACATAGCCTAGCTCAGTATGGCAGGGGAGATGGCCTTGCTACAAACTCGGTTCAAAATTCAAGAATTTTAAATTTTGACTGCTTCTCGGTAGGCTTGCACAAGTTAGAACAATACATAGTGCTTTGTATGAATGTTCTTTTTGCAAATTAGCACATACTCAGTGGACCAAGCTGGGGTTATTTTATATAAAGCTCACTTTTAAAATGTTTGTACTCCTACAAGTTACTACTGTAGTACGTTTGGTAGGTACAGCATGGAGGTGGCGTGAAATATTTATAAATTATCTTTGGGTCATTTGTATGCTGGATTTCCCCAGCATGTTTTCTGAAAGGTCTTAAGTCATATTCTAGCTGCTTATGATATGCAAGGCCTATTAGAGTAATATGATGATATTTTTATGGTGTTATTGTTGTTTTGCCAAGCGTGTGTGCCTTTCTCATTTGTGTAAAAACAGTGTGCAGCTTGTATCTGAATCAGCTTGGAAATACATTTTTCTTTTCTTCTTGAAAAACTAGACTAACTCACTAATTTCATGGTGTGATTTGTCTTTCCTTTTTTGGACAGAGAGGAACTGAAATCAATAAAGATGGAGGAAAGAAGAAGGCTAAAGGTGTTTCTGGAGACTCTGTAGGCAGGGCTGAGGTAAGTTGCAAAATCAAGTTCCAGAAATGACTGCAGGCAGATGATGATGTTAGACATTTTTTAATTTCTTATTTTTGAATAAATTAAAATGATGATGTCCAGTATTTGTGTAAATCTGTCATTGAATGCTCACGGATCTAATAGATGTTTTGCAGAAATTCGTGCTCATTTCTGTTTTTGTGTGAATGTTTTAATGTCTAGTCCACATTATTCTGGCAACACTGTACTGTATAGTCTCCTCAATGTAAATTCAAACAATTCAGTGCAGAGACCTCTTGTGCTGACTGTATTTCCCAAAATACTTATACATTTTTACAATACAGTGTCTGGTGCCTTGCCTTTTGTTCTTTTAATAAATAAAGGGGAGAAACAGAAACATTGATGTCACAACAAAGTAGTATGAGCAATGCTACAGTTGAGTTTCAAAGCTTAAAATATTTCAGCAAACTAAAACATATATTATATTCTAAGTATCAAGTTTTGCTTTCAGTTTCCCACTAGTGTCTGTGTCCACTGTTGTTGTATTGATGTTCATTATATAATTAAACAAAGAAGAATGCAGTTGCCATTCATGGAAAAAAATTTACTGCCTTTTTCTGTATACCTTGTCTTGACAATCATAGTTTCATGTCTGAACACATAAGAGTATTAGCAAGTCATTTGTATGGATCATTATCAGATGAAATGTACTGTACTATATGCACAGTGACTACATTATCCCCTGCCCCATATTTACTCACACCGTTTTTGCTTCTAATCAGCTGTCACCACCACCTGAGTACATCCAGGATCGTCTTACATTGTATGCAACGCTGAAAGCCGAGCATGATGCTCTGATAGCAGAGAGGGCTGCGAGGGATAGCCGCACCATCAAGGTGACCCTGCCCGATGGAAAGGTGGTGGAGGCTGACTCTTGGAAGACCACACCATACCAGGTGGCCTGTGGAATCAGGTCAGCGTGATGATAGGGTTGATATCCAGCAATATGTAATTGTGGCTTTTTAATTGTGACACTTCACTTTTATGCAGCACAGAAAGATTATCTGTCATATTTTTATGTAGAGCCTGCAATGACTGTTACAGTTTGAAAATACTTTACAATGCCCACATTATGAAAATAGTAATTGGAAATGACACCCACTTTAGATGGGTTCACCGAAGACAAGGAAATACTTTGACAGTAAACATCATTAGTTTTAGAAGCAGAAGAAACTTTGAATAGTCTGAGAATTATCTCTTTATCAGCATGGTCCAATATGCAGTAGGTACCAATAGTAATTAATGTCATCATCTTCCAGGGTTCCCTTGGAAAATGGAGCTTCCCCTGGTAAAATAAAGGTTAACTAAACAGATTTCATACTGAAAACCAAAAATAAACAGATTGCACAGTAAAGTTACCATCTTTGTAAGAGCGGATGCCATTGTTGCTCCATATGACTTAAAAGCACTGCCCATCATTGCATTATTATTTCTTTATCATGCCATGAGTACATTGGTGTATATGGCTGATGCATTTAACCTTTAATGGCCTGTAAGCCTGTTTTTAGGTCATAAAATTCTCTTAAGGCATTTAGTAAGTTCTGTATTGTAATTTTAAACTTCAAAGGTGTGGCATTGTACTGTTAACAGCATCCCTTAATCTCCTGCTAGGGCACAGTATATAGGTGTGTCAAACCAGCACACACTTTGTAAGACCAGCCAAACTACATCTACAGTATTACTGGTGATGATGATGTTAGTGTCACATGACCAGTTCAAGACAGCGACCTTTCAGAAAGCTTTCATTCTGTGTGTGGCTTAGAGTTATAGCAATGTATTATAAGCTCTGTTTTTGTACAAAGCTCCTTCCGGCTCTTTTAAACCAGGAACTCACAAAAAGACGAAGTAGACCACTTTAGATTTTATAAAAAATAACCGTACTGGTTTATTCAGAGGATCACAGGTAAAATTAACATCACACGTCCAGATCTCTCTCACTACCAAACCTGCGCGCAGGCAGCTTGGAAAGATGAAAGATCCTGGACCAAGAAACCTATATAATTTTAATCATTTTGGGCTAGCCCCATACTACGCAGGCACGTCAAACCGTGACGTCACCTGATATGCCAGCTTGCAGCTGACCATAACGATAGTCAAAACATGAGGAAAAGTCAAGGTGTGTGGCTGTTG